GTAACACCGTCCTTTCGTGTTAGGGGACGTTAAGCCTAAGTAACACCGTCCTTTCGTGTTAGGGGACGTTAAGCCTAAGTAACACCGTCCTTTCGTGTTAGGGGACGTTAAGCCTAAGTAACACCGTCCTTTCGTGTTAGGGGACGTTAAGCCTAAGTAACACCGTCCTTTCGTGTTAGGGGACGTTAAGCCTAAGTAACACCGTCCTTTCGTGTTAGGGGACGTTAAGCCTAAGTAACACCGTCCTTTCGTGTTAGGGGACGTTAAGCCTAAGTAACACCGTCCTTTCGTGTTAGGGGACGTTAAGCCTAAGTAACACCGTCCTTTCGTGTTAGGGGACGTTAAGCCTAAGTAACACCGTCCTTTCGTGTTAGGGGACGTTAAGCCTAAGTAACACCGTCCTTTCGTGTTAGGGGACGTTAAGCCTAAGTAACACCGTCCTTTCGTGTTAGGGGACGTTAAGCCTAAGTAACACCGTCCTTTCGTGTTAGGGGACGTTAAGCCTAAGTAACACCGTCCTTTCGTGTTAGGGGACGTTAAGCCTAAGTAACACCGTCCTTTCGTGTTAGGGGACGTTAAGCCTAAGTAACACCGTCCTTTCGTGTTAGGGGACGTTAAGCCTAAGTAACACCGTCCTTTCGTGTTAGGGGACGTTAAGCCTAAGTAACACCGTCCTTTCGTGTTAGGGGACGTTAAGCCTAAGTAACACCGTCCTTTCGTGTTAGGGGACGTTAAGCCTAAGTAACACCGTCCTTTCGTGTTAGGGGACGTTAAGCCTAAGTAACACCGTCCTTTCGTGTTAGGGGACGTTAAGCCTAAGTAACACCGTCCTTTCGTGTTAGGGGACGTTAAGCCTAAGTAACACCGTCCTTTCGTGTTAGGGGACGTTAAGCCTAAGTAACACCGTCCTTTCGTGTTAGGGGACGTTAAGCCTAAGTAACACCGTCCTTTCGTGTTAGGGGACGTTAAGCCTAAGTAGCACCGTCCTTTCGTGCTAGGGGACGTTAAGCCTAAGTAGCACCCTTGTTAAGATATCGGTCACCGACGGACTATGAACAGGTGTGCTCGATGCCGAAGTTATGCTTTTGTTTTGCCCGGAATGTCATCACCCCATGTTTTAAGTTAACGTATGTTAAGTAAGTAAGTAAGTTTTGAGAGACCAATGTTCGATTGATGTTTTATTTCAAGCCAATCTAAGCTATGTTATGTATGGTTTTGATAAAGATATACTATGTATTGTTTTGAAAGGATCTCGGGTATCATTCATTTAAAACCTTTATTACTTGTACCATTCACTGAGTATTTAAGCTCACCATCCCTATGTATATATGTAGGTAACAAGCAAGAAGTCGGTTACGCCGAGATGTGTGTTTTGTATGTATGTTATGTCAGCAGTGAGGATGTCGGCAATCTGGAAGATTATGTTTCTCGACTTGTAGCTTATGTATTTTGGACATGTCGGTTTGAGAAACCTTTTAGTCAAGATGTAATATGTATTTTTGTACTTTATTTTATTTGTATTCAAGTTGTAAAGCTATGTAAAGTTGTATGCCATTCCATTTGACTTATGCACAGCTCTTATGGACTAATTAGATTTGTATATATTGCTTCCGCACTTGTGAGCCCCACATATTTATACTCTGATAGTGTGTGAATTTTGAAAGTTGGCCTTCGGTAATCTCGGATTGCTGGCCATCACGGCACTATCCTACTAGGGGCGGTTTGGGGTCGTGACATGATATCATTAGTTTTCTATCTGTACAACTAACAAATTAACTCCCCATCTAAAAAAAAAAAAAAGCTAGCAATACTTACTGCAAAAAAAAAAAAAAACAAATTAATTATGAAAAGTGAGTTGAATATTATATGAATTAAAATTTTAAGAAAATTTAATATAATTATATCAAATTTATAGAACTCAATATAATTTTGATATTTGTACCCAAAAACAAATACTAAAAAACAATTTTAAGAATCATGTTGAATAAAAAGCATTTGGATCATCTCCATGTAGTATTGAATAGATTCTTTAAGCAAAATATTATTCAATGGTTTGAGAGCACCATCATGGCATGTGTATGCAAGGCAAGAAAACCTACAAAAATAGATGGATATGATCAATTTTTTCTTCCACTTAGTCAATTAAGTAGTTTAAAATATACTTACAACTATGGTATTGTGTACATAAAATTGTCAACAAATAAAAAATCGCATCATATATTAATTCAGCTACTATTATTAGGGGTTCAGAAAGTATCATGACTCTCTCTCTCTCTCTCTCTCTCTCTGCAGGGGATGCATTAGTTCATTAGTCATTTTCCTTAGGACAATGCATATGTTTCCTAAAAGATTTGCGTGTCATTTGGGTAGGACAATACATATGTTTCCTAAAATAATTGTCTGGATGTTGAAATGGCATATCCCCCACAGTCCTTCCTTCCTGACTTTAGATTTAAAAGTTATTGTCTACAATCATTTTACATGCCTGCCTTCCTCATACATCCATTCAGTACAATTGTGGTTCTTATTTGTCGGTGTTCATATATATATATATATATATATATAATATCGATGATTTTAAATGTGAATCGTTTGTAATTTTACACTAAGAATTGAAGTAGGTGGTTGAATTTAATAATATGAGAACTTAAAAATAAAATAAAAAAAGATTACAAATTTTTACAAATATGATAGTGGGTATATAAATATTCTCTCTATTATCATTCTTATATAGCATGAATGGGTGCTACTATACTTGCCTAAAATGGGGGCCGCATTAAGTTCGTAGGGACCAACACTTTCCAAGGACAGACCAACTTGCACCATGCTCTATCATGTGAATTATTCTCTTTTGCTTTCTCCACTTTTCTTTTCTTTTCTTTCTTTCTATATTTTTTTTTTCTTTTTTTTTTTTTTTTAAACTGAAACTTACATAGATGAAAGAAATTCATATAACAAAGTCATGGATTGGATATTTCACCCTGAAAGCATCATCATACAAGGATGTCCATGCATCCATTAGCTTCATGATAAATATAACTAATTATCGATACTCTCAGCTGTTCCAAAGAGCTTTTATACCAAGATGGTGATGCTCTTTAGGGATCCCCATAATCAACTGTTGTAACAACGTTGCATCTATTTTTACTTCGAAATTTGCCAATCCGCTGCGCTAGCTTTAATCCATCGCTCAAAGCCCAACACTCAGCTATTATGCTTGAGGTAATACCAAATGTTCCTGTAAAAACAATGATCCATCTTTCACAATCGCTGATAATGCCTCCACAACTAAGCTCAAAGCCCAAAACTCGGCTATTATGCTTGAGGTAATACCAAATGTTCTTGTAAAAACAATAATCCATCTTCTTTCGCAATCGCTAATAATGCCTCCACAACTAAGCTGCCGTTTCGCAACATGGTTGGAAGTGAGTCGGGACTAAGAAAGCACAAAAGAATAAAATAAGCTAAATAAATTGATAAAACAAAATATCACATCCAAAACATAATCATTTCACTTTTTCTCTTATGAAAAAACAAAAAAAATTAAAAGAAGTCAAAATCTTCTTTTCAAATAGAGCTAATTTAGTCAGGTTAAATTAGTCAAAAAGCTAAAAAGTCAAGCTAAAAAAATTCTTCCCAAATGAACCCTAACTTTCTTTGGATTCCTTTTAGCTGCACCATCAATGTTTAGTTTGTAACATCTTACAAGATACAAGATAGTGATCTTCCCCTCAATTATAAACATATAGAAATTAAGAAAATAACACGCAAGTGAAGAAAAACCAAAATATGAGATAATCGAGTGTTGCTACAACACAATACTACCTATGAATTTGTCAATCAATTGCATGTACACAATAAATCCATGTATGTAGATGCACAAAGTATAGGCCAGACCATTACATATAATGGTACAGTGCTAATAGGCCTACAGACCTTAAATCCAGACCAATTTAGATACTCGGTTCAATTAACTTGAATTGGAAACTACTATAATGGGCCAACCACCCCTGCCCCAATATAAGTCAAGCACACCAGTAGGTTTGGATTTCAGCTTGAAAATCACTGCTCGGTGACAATGTCATCCTTGGCAACAAATGTGTAGGTGGGTGTCGTGTGCAGTCTTTAATGTTATCACCGCCATTGATAATGTCATTACGTAATGAGAATTGTGTCACAAAATTATTAGCAATCCCTCTAATCGGGTGTCACATGTTACAGTTGTGAACCGGACTGGTACATAGTAACAACAGTTAAAGTAACATGTATCAGCCGGTTTAGCGTGGAGGGTTTCAATTGTGCCGGTAAACCAGCCTGTAACAGTACATGTTCTTCGAAAATCCATCGCTTACCACCCAGAACGGTACATAACAGCCAGTTTTTGTTTCCGTGGAGTAACAGCAACCACAATTTGAGGGACGGCCATGCAAGGGAGTCCCCTCTTAGTTGGCTCGACTCAAAGCAACATTCCCACCTGGCAATGGATAACCCCATCCCCACCCACCACTGCTTAAAAGAAAAACCAAATACCACACAAAGCTAGGAAATAAAGAAAATGAATCATGACATAAGGTTAATCAACTCCAAAGTCATTACACAATAACAGAAGACACAACGGTACATAACAGCCAGTTTTTGTTTCCGTGGAGTAACAGCAACCACAATTTGAGGGACGGCCATGCAAGGGAGTCCCCTCTTAGTTGGCTCGACTCAAAGCAACATTCCCACCATGCAATGGATAACCCCATCCCCACCCACCACTGCCTAAAAGAAAACCAAATACCACACAAAGCTAGGAAATAAAGAAAATGAATCATGACATAAGGTTAATCAACTCCAAAGTCATTACACAACCAACTAGTGATGGCAAATAAGACACAACAAAGTCTTAATAAGACAACACCAATTTCAAATTTTTTTACCACTACTGAAGTAAGGCAAGCAAGAATAGGTTTTGCAGACTCGTTTGGTTCAATGCACACAGTGCTTATCTGAATGATTCACCTAGTCTTTTTTTCCATATTGCCGCCAAGCAAATGCTAATCCAAGGATTAAGAGGGGTACCACAAATTGTAATATCTTCATCAAAATTCCCGGTGACTGATTTGATGATGTTTTTGGAGGAGGCTTATATTGCTGTTTTGCTGGAAGAGTGGAGCTGTCAACCTCACCGATGAAGTAATCGATCAACATATCTCTTGCTGAGTCACTGTGGCCCACGTCTTCAAAATCATCTGTTGCATCTTTCCCTGAAAATTTGCACCCGGATTTGATTTAGGTCTAATATCAGTGGTTGGCCTTTCAATTTCATGAAAAAGGTGTCATTTGATGAGAAGAATGATAGGATAAGTGAAATGCCACATCACAATCTTACCAGTTGCTGTTAGCAAGACTTCATCACCTCCAGGATGATCATCCAAGAATGATGTTACATCATACACCTAACACACAGCATTAGAATCACCAGTCAATAACATGTTATTTTGAAAATGAAGGAAATATTAAACAACAGTTACCAAGTGGAGCACTTCTTACTAATAATCTAATGTCAAGTGGTTAACAAGCTATGCAATACTGACAAAAAAGATTTTCTTTTTCATTTTTTCAGTTTTTTTGTTCTGGGTTAGCAGAGGGGTTTTGAAGAGCTATAACCTTGTTGGGCTTCGTTTTCAAAATCTATTTTCTGATTTATTTTTATTTTTTTTGAAAAATAAAAACTAGTTTGAAAAAAAAAAACACTTAAAGATATTTACAAATTTTAAAGAATTATTTCCATCTCAAAAAAGAGGAAACAAAGTGAACATAGTGAGGGTTTCTCATTTTTTCCCCCCTCCACTAAACTAGTTTTCAGTTTTTTATGAAAATTTTCTGAAAACAAATTTCAGAAATGAAGCCAAAAAAGACATCTAACTGGGGATTGGAAATTGAAAAGGCAACAAAAGCAGTCCAGAATCCACCACAATACACACAGAATTGTCACTTCAATATTTTGCAAATGCCTTGGAAAACTGTACCATCCTATTCCATCCATTTTTCAAATACAAATTTCAGGTTCTTTTAAAAAACAATTCTAGAACTTTCACCAAGAATTTTGTTTTTAAGAAAAAAAAATTTTTTTTTGAGAAATTGGTGGAAAAGAAAGAAATGGAATCAAGTCGAATGCTTCAAGGCATGATTAGGTCACTATTCTTGAGACGCTATTTGCTCCCACCAATTTTTCAAATTGGAATGCACCAGGTTAACGCAATACAATGAAGCCTAGTCTATGAAAGTGGACCAAAATAACAGTGAGGAGAATTACAAATATGCCCAAATACAAGAATGTAATAGAAAACAAGAATAAGAAGAAAAAGAAAAAAGGAGAACTTGAATAAAAGATGCCTATCATTGCTTCAATTGAACGTGTTTAAATGGTGAAATGCAGGACCTCTTTATAAGCTTAATTAATGGTGTCTCTTCATAATGGTTGTGTCCCTTCATTGATCATATTTTTTCAAGTATAATTGCAATAGTGGTTGCAGCTCTTTCAATAAATATGTTTGTGTTATTTAGACTGTGTCATTTCATGATTTAACGTTGTAGACTACGCCTTTCATGAAGTGGTATGTCTATTCCTTAGACCCTTCATAAATGGATGTGATTTCCAACCATCATGCCCTTGTCCTTAAATAGACATGACTTCTACACCAACCATTTTATCTTTTCAGTTGAAAAGACACAACTTTAGGACCAACAAGCATTTCTTTTTATGCCAAGAATTGTGTCTAATTATTTTAACTAACATGTCTATTCAAAACAACCCATCCAGCGTCATCAGAAAACATTAGTACCCTAATGATTTACATTTTGGAATGGTAGACTTCAATTAAAAAACAGTGAATTTAGCAAACAAAAGCAATGCCCAAAACTTTTCCGATATCTTTTCTTAATAGTTCTCCTTAGGAGAAGAAACAAAGTATAGTGAACTAAAACTTATATAGAGGGGAGTTTTAGCAGAACAATAAAATATATTTGATTGAATGTCTAATTATTAAAAATAATTAAAAAAGTTCTCATAGTTATAAGCTTAGTTGCAGGAATCGTGCAACTAGGTGGCGATTTTGAGGAAGAATCGCGATTCCGCGTTTCCTAGAAAGAAACGTGTAAGAATTGCGTTTCTGTGGAGAGAGAAACGCGATTCAGTCCAAGATGGGATCGTAAAGGGGAGAGAGAGAGAGAGAGAGAGAAACCTGGTCTCTCTGTTGCCTTCTCCTTCGACATCGACGTCGACCTTTGTTAAAATTCACCCACTATCACCTACCACACTTCACCTACTCTCCACCTACCACTACCACCTACCACACTTCACCTACTCTCCACCTACTCCCAAACACACTCCTATATAATAGGAATCCTTGTAATTGTAATATACAACAATATCAATAAATCAATCAATAATCTATTTCTCTTTATACATTGATTTTATACATGGTATCAGAGCAAGGTTAAAGATCTTGGTGTTCTTCGCCTTCCGGCGGGCGGCAACCTTGCCTTGACCGTCCGCCGGATCTCAACCAATTCAAACCTCCCTCTCCCTCTCGGTACCTCACTTTCTCTCTCTTCAGCTTCGGAGTCGGTGACCCAACAAACCCGGAGTGAATCAATTAAAAATAAAAATAATTATATAAATAAATTAAAAATATTATCAATAAAAATAATACCTAAGATAAAAATAATAAATATATTTAAAAATAACTATTTAACTCACCTTTATATAATAAGTATATTTTAAAAATAACTATTAATATATATATATATATATATTATCGCTCCTCGAGGCGCACCCAACCTAAGAAACTTCTATCGGCTCACGCTTCCCCGCTCCCGTTCCTGCCCCCGCTCCCGCTTCGTGCAATTAAGGTTATAAGTACCTTAGATTCTAATAGTGCAATCTATACAAGTCTATCCTTACAATACTACATTTTAGAACATGTGTCATAACCACAGCCCTATCCCCTTTCCTCATACCAAAATGATCCACGTTTTAAGGAGCATAGATTTCACTTTTCTTCTTTAAGAAATAATTTTAAAATCCCAAAAAAAATGTTTTGAAAAACTAAAATAACCAAAATTTAGTACCCTTACAATTCAAACACAATAACCAAAATTTGTTATAAGCCTATTAAGAGGATTAAGCTCAACCTTTACCTAGGTACCAAACACTTTACCTTGAGATGCCTAAAATAAATGTCTTTATAGTACTTTCAATCTCATGCCTGTGGGTGTACATTGTCGCACTGAACTCAAGACTTAATTTTTGATGAACGGTGGAGTCGAAGTTCAACCATTTGAGATTTAAAGGAATAAGTTCACTACATCCCTTTTGCCGTTGAAACATTGCAAGTCTTTCAATTTAACAACTTTATGAAACTTTCCGAATGAATTTTCAAATTACTTAAATGAATTATGAGTAATAGGTGATATAGTTATATCCTTGTCCACCAACTTTCACCAATTATTCTAGTCATGACAACAATCTATTATCACAATTTAAGATATCGATGACATAGACAAATGTCACTTTGACTTTTACTACAAGAAACCATAAGCAAACTCCCTACTTTTCACAAAAGAGTTTATTCTACAAAATTATCTCTCTTAGGTGAAGAGACGCCACTAATAAGAACTCATATATATTGTACATATATGAACTATGGCTATTGTGCTAGTGGAAAAACTTGCACTTGATGTATCCTTTTAATTGACGGATACCCACTAAAATATATACTATTTCCATGAGTGTTTCAACTAGTAAAACTAAAGTTATTTTCAACAACTATTATATGACTTAATAAGTAATCCAAAGATAGTGCTTCTCCATCTCTTCCGTGTCATTCAACTAGAACAAGCAGAATAATACTAGCATTATTTGTACAAATAATGGCAATACTATATCTTAAATAATTCATAAAGCATTTGAAAGAGATTCTTAATATTTTTATGGAAAAAATATACATGTTCCTAAAGTATGTGACCTGTGTCACTTTGGTAAAGTTCCAATTTTTTCAATTTCAAATGGCCGTCAAAATTATTAATGGAATGTTAATAAAATTCACATATGGTCCCTAAAGTTAGTGTTTCATGTCAATTTGGTCCCCAAAGTCTAAATTTTTTCAATTTTGTCCCAAATACTATAAGGCTTTGTCTGGATCGGTGAAAATTACTAGGAATCCAACACCCAGTAATCTAATACCTGAGGTTCTGATAATCTCATCTAGGTATTTGGATAAGAAGCAAATTATTCATGCAACTTACAAAACAAGAAATTACATCAAATAAATGTCTTCAATGTGGTGTACGAAGTCATGAATTACTTCCGATTTTCACAACAAGTTCACAGTTTCAAAAACAAATCCTTGAGGTTCTGTTTAATATTGTTTACACCTAAAAAATGTGACATAAGTTGTCTTGTATGAGTTTGTTATGGCATAATCATGTGATGAAACTAGTGCAACACAAATATATAAGTCTCTTTAGCTTTACTTGGGACACCATGGTAAAGGTTGTACAGACCATAGTGTCAAGCTAAAGTTCAGTAAATTAAGAACAAAAATTCAAATGAACAACCTTGAGCACTTGGAATAAGCACCAAGATCAAAATCCATCACAACCAAATCATTGGTGTCGTGTTTTCTGAGGAAAGGCCCAAGGAATGAATTTGAAAACACCATGTTTTTAGTAATTTAGCGTTGAATCTAAACATATCAGAATTGCCGGCTCGTCCTTTTATTTATTTTTACTTTGTATTTTTGCACTCTAATATTGTGTTTTAATATTGAATTTATGAGGGATTTGTATAGGAAAATGAAAAGGAATCGCCATATTTTTCATTATTCCCTTCCATTATCTTTGCCCCTACACAAATGTCATTCACAAATCCATTATCTAAACACAGCCTAAATCTGTTTCGTGGTTTTGATTATCATCGTGCCTACACCATAGTCGGATTATGTTTTTGTTGTATGATCTCAAATACTACTTCTTTAACCAAATCAGTTTATTTCTTCATTTCTGCATTGTATAATTCATTTCTTGGTTTCAAATTGATTGTCAAATTCAAGTCTTTAGATCCAATCCTCAAATTCATCAACCCCCAAACAAGTTTTCACAAGTGTTAAAAGACTGAAAAGATAATAGGAAATCATGAATCAGCCTGATACACAACTTTTCACAAACAGTTAACAGATCATGAATAATAAATAGAAAATAAATAAAGATTTTCGAACAAAGATTACACAAAAACTGACCTTTCCAGAGATGATAATCCAGCAATCCTGTTTGTGATTGTGATTTGCAACCTCCTCAAACGAGTGGACTTTCAAATTTGAACTCATATCTGCCACTAGTGCTAAAAAAACACAAACCCAGAAACGAAACTGTTAGATTCGATACGCAAAGTATGTGAATATGCTAAAATCACAAGAAAATTGATTCAAGAGAAGGAAGAGAAGATCTCTTACGGCGAGAGAGAAAGAGAGCGGATGGACTTTCAAAGTAAACGACAGAACAGAGAGCACCGTCCTCAAACCACTTTTTTTTGACTCCCTCCTAGTTTGGGTATTGCAATACAAGGCCTTTTACACTCCTCTATTTATGCCATGGTCCATTAAAACTTTGCATTACAACTTTGCATACGGAAAGTATCCACAAAATACAAAGACAAACTACTAAAAAATGATATTTGGGTAATCAATTATAAAATAGTAGGGCTTTTATTATTATTATTATTATTATTTTTTAAAGTTACGTCTGCATGAGATTTAAAGGAAAAAAAAATGGGCAAATTACATATACACCTCTCGAGGTTTGGCTAAATTACAGATACTCCTGAGGTTTTGGAAATTACATCCCGCCCCCTGAGGTTTGTATTTTCATAACAATTTGCCCCCTGAGGTTTATATTTCATAACAAATTACCCCCTAATTTCTTATGCAAATATAGCATTCAGGGGGGAATTCGTAATTTCTCAAACCTCAGGGGGCATCTGTAATTTAACCAAACCTCGAGGGGTGTATATGTAATTTGCCCAAAAAAAATTTACGAAATCACAGACAATGTTTGTTTTTAGTTTTCAGAATTCACTTTTCAAAAAAATTTATATTTTTATTTTTTGTATTTTTTTTTGTTTTAACTGAATTTTTTTAAAATTTTAAACAATTTTTTTTTTTAATTTTTAGATACACCTAACATAAATATACTTAAAAAGTATAATATTGTAAACAAAATCTTTAAAAATTTACTAAATATCAAAAATATAAAAAAAATATAAATTTCTTTTACATATTTTTGTGTATTTATTAATTTTTTAAAATATTTTTTTACAAATATTTTACTATTTAGATACATCTAAGTAAGATGCATCTAAAAAGTAAAAAAATTGCTTAAAATTTTAAAAATATTCACTAAAAACAAAAAAATACAAAAATATAAAAAACTTATTTTTTAAAAAACTGAAACCAAATACACTGTATTTTTTTTTCTTCGTCACTCTCTTTCTTTCTACATTGTCGACCATTATTTTTCTTATCACTTCTATTCCTCTTCCACTATCAACCGCCATACTCAGCCCCATTTATCCAACCCCAACAACTTTATCATGACCACTATCGCATTTCGTAGATTTCTCTCACCATCTCTAGCCATCAATTACTCTTACCATTCATTCCCAACCCACTGACCACCCTTACCACCACCATCGCCATCTACTCCTTTTTCTCAACTTTGTTCACCCCAACCCTCTTTCCTGCTGTAATTGCCAAATCTGCACTGCAATAGTTCCATTGTACTTCTACTATAAGATCTCTACAATTGCGACCTCATTCAATTTCTCTCCTCTTTCTCTATGTATAGGTTTTTTTTTTTTTTTTTTTCCTTTTGGTGATAACTAATAGAAGGGAGGTTGAAATGTACAGAAAGTTTGAAAAATGGTAGAGGAAAGCTGAGAAGTGGGAAAGAAGTACTTGATGTTGGTATTGTTGAACAATTTTCACTCTATTTAAAAAATAAATTTTGTTTGTGTACTTAACAACAAACGGAATTTATAAGAAATAAAGGAAGTGAGAGAGATTGTTTGATTATAAAAATCAAATTAGAAAATAAAAATAAATAAATAAAAATAGATTTTTATTTTGTTACAAAAATAAAATCAAAATTTGAAGCAGAAAATAATAAAACAGAAAGTAAATTAATAACTTACAAAATTAATTTCTTGAACAAACTTTTGATCAAGTCTCGTGTTTAACACTATGTCCTTAAGACAGATGCGTCCTCTCCACGGTGCTTTTAGATTATGGACGTCTATCTCCTAGGATAAAACGATTAACTACGAATAATTGTAGCACTACAAATTATTCGCACAACGAACACACTTTGTGTTTACGCTCTTTCTCACAAGAAAATAATGCAGCAAAATGTAAAGAGAGCAAGTAGAGTTAGAGACGAAAATTGGAGTGAAAAAACCAAAATGAGAGACTGCCTATTTATAGGCTGAGCGGTGGTTGTTTGGTTTGAATTAAACAGGTACAAAACCTGTTCAGTTTAAATTAAACATATACAAATCTGTTTAAACAGGTAAGGCACTGTTTGGTTTGAATTTTAAACAGATATTGAATCTGTTCGATTTAATTTCAAACAGATTGGAACCTGTTCAGGTAGAGGGAAAACTGGACAGATTTTCAAAATTAAATTAGAATTTTGGACAGTTTTTTTTTATTTTACCAAAAAATAAAATTCAATTCAAATGTTTTTGACCCAAACAGATAGGTATTGAGCTGGATAAGCCCAATCCAACCTCACACCACGCACCCGTGCCTAGGCCCAAGCCAGCCCACCCGACCGACCGACCGGCAACGACGGCACGCGCGTGTGTGTTTATTTTTGGGTCTAATGGGTCTAGCCCAATTTGTTCATAACCTCTCCCTTCTACAAATTTGGGGTGCTCCTTGGGGCCCTCCCCAAGTTACAAGCCCAAGCCTTATAAACCCATTCAAAGTATGCCCACAAAATCAATATGGGACAAGCCTTAAACCAAATCTTTAGAAAATTTCACCAAAAACATCATTTCCATGGAGCTTTGTTTGGCTTCAATTTTCCATTCACTCGATAATGGTTTTGAGCAACCAAATATACCATGTGAATCACAACACGACATAAAACGCATTGCCACTTAGACCTACCAACTTTGGCGCATGGGTCCTACCTAAAAAATGGACCAAAGTTGAGGAAAAATCTTTTTTTTTTTTTCCAAAACTTCCAAAACCCATTTCTAACAATCCCCCATATGAATGGAATTGGATAACAACGGAAATGCAACAATATACAGAATTTGTCAAAAGAGTGTAAATCAAAAATATCTCGCATCAGGATAGGTAGCTTTCAGCCTTGAACTTTCTCTAGTGATAACCTATCGAACTTACTAGCTAACCAATGGACGCGATGCCTTGAATTGTTCAGCCGTTTGTGTAAGCCAAGACAATAGATTTTACACAAAATATTTTCTAACACATCGTGGTTCTCACGGTTGTGTTCATATAGGTGATTCTTATTATGAGTATCTCTTTTATACTCGTCTTGATTTTTATGCCTAAATCAAGATATAAGTAATCATTAAAAGCAAAGCTTATCCTTAAACCATACAACACATGTTACAGCTATCATTCTCACTATAGGAATGTGGTAGGTAATTTTAATCCCTTGGTGATTTGTGGCGAGCCATACATAACTTAGTTGTCCCTTTGAACTTAGTTATTGGGATCTCCAGTCATTTAAGTAGGGTTACCATTATGATGACTTTTATGTAATAGATTTTAATCCCATCCCCCTTTAATGAACTATACACTTGCTCTTTAGTCAAACCTTTTGTTAACGGATCAGTAATATTCTCCTTAGATTTTATATAATCTATTGAGATTATTTCATTTGAGAACAATTGCTTTACGATATTATGTCAACGACAAATATGTCATGACTTACCATTGTACATATGGTTCAGTGTCTTGCCTACTGCAGATTGACTATCACAATGAATGCAAATAGCTGGCATAGGTTTTGGCCACATTGGAATGTCTTCTAAGAAGTAGCGAAGCCATTCTGCTTCTTCTTCTGTTTTGTGTAAAGCAATAAACTCAAATTTCAATGTGGATCGTGTGATGTATGTTTGTTTTGTGGATTTCCAAGAAACAGCAGCGCCTCCCAGAGTAAAGATACATCCACTAGTGGATTTTGAATCTTTAGTATCCAATATCTAATTGGCATCACAATAACCTTCTAGTACTGTAGGATATTGAGTAAGGTTCAAACTATGATCACAGGTAAACCTTAGATATCTAAGAACCCGAATGACCGCTTTCCAATGGTCTTCTCCGAGATTACTAGTGTACCTACTCAATTTACTGACTGCATAAGCTATATCAAGACGAGTATAATTCATTAGGTACATTAGGCTTCTAATGATTTGGGAGTATTTTAACTGAGACACCACATCACCTTTATTTTTTGATAAATAAAGACTGATGTCTATAGGTGTTCTAGTTACATTCATATCATTCTTAATAAATTTATCAAGAATTCTCTCAATATAATGAGATTGTGATAATGCATACCCATCAAATGTTTTAGTAATTTTCATTCCTAATATAACATCTCGACCCCCATATCATTCATGTTAAATCTTTTGTTCTGTATTTGCTTAGTTGATTTGATTGTGTTTTGACTGCTTCCAATGATAAGCATGTCATCCACATAAAGACAAACGATGACATAACCTTTGTCAGTGTTTTTAACATAGATGCATTTGTCACATTCATTTATCTTAAACCCATTAGTAAACATGGCATGATCAAATTTTTCATGCCATTGCTTAGGAGCTTGTTTTAATCCATAAAGAGATTTTACAAGCTGATAAACCTTTTTTTTTTGCCTTGGCACTACAAACCCTTCGGGTTATTCCATATAGATCTCTTTATTTAGATCACCGTTTAAGAAAGTTGTCTTAACATCCATTTGATGTATTTCTAAATTACATAATGTTACTATAGCAATAAGCATGCGAATGGATGTTATTCTTGTCATAGGGAAATATGTGTCAAAATAGTCCAGACCTTTCTTTGTCTGTAACCTTTTACTACAAGTCTTGCTTTATACTTGTCTATTGAACCATCTGCTTTCATTTTTCTCTTGAATATCCATTTATATCCAAAAGGTTTAGAACCAAGTGGAAGATTCACCAATTAGCAAGTATGATTTTGCATAATGGATTTAATTTCATTATTAACAGCCTCTTTCCACAAAGGTGCTTCAGGACCTGTCATTGCTTCCTTAAAGCTTTGAGGTTTATTTTCTCACAGGTATGTCAGAAAATCTGGACCGAATGATTTTGATGTTCTTGTTCTCTTACTTCGTCTTGGTTCATCATCAGTTAAATCCTATTGGTAGAGACTATTACTAGTCTTTTGTGTTTGATTGTCATTAGTCTCTTGACTTTGTGTACAATCATAAGTTCTTTCATGTGAACTTAATTCTTGTCCTTTCTTATAAGAAAAGACATGTTCAAAAACATAGCATTCCTTGACTCTATAATAATGTTCACATTTATATCAGGTATTTCTGAT